TGAAATAATGTCACTCGTGTAAATAATTATTGAGACTCTTTTCTTGAATAAGTGCCCTGTGCTTTTTGAATGAAAGGTCGCATTGCGTGAGTCTTGAGCCTTAAGTATTTAAAATATCTTTCTGCAGTTTAAATATTGTAATTTGGTTTCATATTTTTAAAAAAGCTTGTTAGCTTTTTGGTGAAATTTCATTTTCCCACTTTATTTTGTGTATCAGCTGATAAGAAGGAAAGATCAGGTGGTGCTGCAGCAATCCATATGCTGTAGTGCAATGCTGGGAGTTCCTTCAGGCTATCTCATGCTCTCTCAGCCCTCTTCTGAGCCCCAAGATTTGAATATGCTAGCATAATTGGGTACTGTTTTGTGACTTATTAATTGCTCTCTTGGGTATATAGTTGCATGTGAGCCAGATTGGCTACTTTCCCAGCCTGCATCACTGGCAGCTGTTTTGCTTGAGGCAGATGGCTTGTAAGGGAAGCACCCATAAATTAGGGCATTGCTACTTTTTTTCAAACGGTTCTGTGAGAGAGAACCTCATGAGATCATGTTTCAAAGTGTTCTTTGCGTACCCTGCTAAACTTCTTTGTAAGTGTCTAAATAGCACATTTTACAGTCACTTGTGTTTTTCAGAAGAATTTTAGGGCAGTGCAGACACTACGATGTAGTCAGCATGAAAACCTTAGTTTCTATTAAGAACCATTGGTAATATTTTCTACATGAAAGAAGGTTCTGAAAAGGAGAATTCGTGTCAGAAAGAGGAAAGAGCCTTAATACCCTTTATAAAATGAGTGTAGAGAGTATTTAAGAGCAATAGTTAGAGAGGAAATGGGATAGCATACAATAGGAAAACTTCAGCTGTTTCAGACGTATTTATGTGTAACATTTTTCTTCCGCAATTCATGCTTACAGCTGCCATGCAGAAGTTTAACAGCTAGACTGCTAGAAAACTGACGAGTAGTATCAGACTTGTTCAATTTCCTTGGAGTTAAGAACTCTGTTATTGTACTTCTCCACACATATGTTCATTCTGTAGGTGTTGCGTGAACAGGATCCATGGATGTGCACACACACAAACCTTGCCTTTCTGTCTCCACCCTGCCATAAACCAAAAAGTTCATCCTAGACTTGTCGTTTCTGAAAACTACATAGCCAGAGCAATTTACTACTTCTGGTGTCTGTTTATTCTTTTGTTCCTATACTGCTGTGTTTTGTTCAAACCAATTACTTTTGTTTTTTCCTAGTTTGTGCCTCAAAGGTTCTTCTTTAGTGTTGACCATGCCTGCAATCCTCCAGTGGGTTTTCAGAACCATCTTTACTCCAGAGGCTGCTTCTGCAATTCATGTCTCTGTGTACGCCTTTGCAATAAGGCATGCACTTGAGAACTGTGATATTTGATTTGGATTCATACTACAGCAAATAAAGGATTATTAGGAGAAACAAATAATTTCCTCCAGTGTTTTCATGCTCTAGTGGCAAGTTGGGAAGGCTTCTAAATGTAACTCAGGCCCAGATAGGAAATGCTATAAAGGAGGGAAAAATAGGCTCTGAAAAAGAATTGGTCTCTTAACAAAATTCGTCTCAGAGAAAATAGTTTTTCCTTCCTCCCTGGGGATACAAACCTCTTAAGCTGGGCAGTGGCAGAGTTTTTGATGTACAATATTGATTCAAGCTGCCTTTGCAATATGTGGACTACTGTTCAATCTGTGTTTTGTTGCCTTCTTGCCTTACTGTGAAGTACTGGGAAGCAGATCTGCTCGCAAACTGGCCACAGAACCAGAGCCTTTTACCATGCTGTTATTTATAAATTGCTTTGTAGTTGTGAAAACATGTAAATAGTTTAGCTTTTGTGGTTATGACAGGTGTCTGTTCGAATCAGAATTACTTTTAAAAATAACATTAATTTTGAGTGGATGGATTTTCTGTGCTCCCACATAGTCTGTGGAGATCAGGTGAATTCAGAGCAGTCTAGTTAGGTTGCGTATGGCATAATTTAGAGCAAATATCTAAAACATTCATTCAAACATAGACTCAACTGAAATTAGCTTCTGTGAGAAGACTTAGGCACTCTCATTAAAAATAGGCTCGAGAGTAAACTGGTTGGTAGTTATAAGAGAGGTGCAGAAATTACTACAATATGTTATCTTGTATATAAGTAATAATAAAAATAAAAAGAGTCCCATTTGGCCTAATATTTCATAACTTTGTGTGTATTCTTTTACACCTTTGCCATAGCCTTTCTTTATCAGCTGCTGTTAAATCTTAACTTGGCTACTCTTACTTCTTCAGTGTTAAAAGATACTTTCAGTCTTTCAATCAGTGGCATAATTGAAGCTCAGGAAACACAGGCAACTGTCATCAGAGAGCTCCAAAGTCAGAGTATCCTCCCTGTTTGTATTAGCCTGGAGTTACTGATAGATCTTTAATGAGGATTAAAGTAATTTCTGACTGATACCTGCATAAGTCTTCACTGACCAAGAAAGTACCACTGCACAGGTAGACCTGGAAAGTTACAGATCATAATGCTCTGAAGGAGAGAGGGGGTCGAAATAAAGGCAAACTATTGTGTGGTTTGATTTGGTTTGGTTTGGCTTTTCGTGTAATATTGTGAAAGCAGGAAAAAAGGTAACAGCAGAGGCTGCTGGCAGTTAAAAGCTGAGGTGGGTTTGTTTATTGTTTGGAGTTTTTTAAAGTAAAAGTTTGAGGGAAGTTTCTTCTTGGTTTGGTTTTTGTTTTTGTTTTTCTGCCATCTTCTTCCTCTGGACTGATCTCTGGGTCAGAGTCTCTGGTAATAGGTATGGCAATTAGCCTGTGTCTTGCTAAATCTAATTGCCCTTATAGGCCAGCTGACTGTCCTTGGCAGAAACAAATACAAAAAAGTTAAACGGTATGAACAGGCAGATTTAAAAGAGACGATTAAAAAAGAAAAAAAAAAAAAGAAAAAAGAAAAAGAAAAAAAGACAAAAAAGAAAGAAGTAGAAGAAAAAATTTCCTCTTTCCATATATTTCAGACGAGGTTCTGTCAATCTATTCTTGCATTTCTGAGTTCGTCTGATTGATTTTAATTTTATTCTTTTGTTTGAAACATTTCATCTGTAAAGTATCTTTTTTCAATACCGTCCATGACACATAACCTTACACGTCGGTGATTTTGTTTCCAATTCCACTAGAGAACTTAAAGAGCAGAAATAAAACTCTTCCTATATAAATGTGTTTATTTCTGTCTTAAATACAGATTATTTGTTATCGTATAGTTGGAGTGAAGAGAGAAATATTCTGCATCTAGTTACCATTACTTTTAAGGGGACTAAGGTTGATTATTTTGGTTATCCTTAGGTCAAAACATTCCCACTTGAATAGGAGAATTAGAACAGTTTAACCTTACATTATGCTATTTGCAGTTGGGCAAAGAAAATACAGTAGTGATAGACATGAAGAAAACTATCACAGATAGATACCCTTCATTTGAAGATTTGCTGTTCTACACTTTCCCTATCATATGACCATCTTTATTTAAGAGGCTTAGATAAACTTATGTTTACAAACTGTTCTTTCAGGTTATTTGATCCAGTGCAGTGGAATGTGCTCATGTGATCATCAGCCATCACCAGGAAAGTTAAAAATAAGCAATTATTTAGATAGAGCAGATCATAGATCTTTTTATGACAATCTGAACAGTCTGGAAGATGCATGTAAAATATTAAAAAATCCTTTTGGAAGAAAATAGCAAGTTAGGGAATGGTAATTTAGAATCTCACCAGAATATTAGTCCTTACTTCTCTTTTCCCCTCTCCCAAGCTGATGCTCATCTAGATTCTCCTCAAGCAGTAACGGTAAAATTACTGTAGTATAAAGAATAGAGAAAGGACTGAAGTTGTTTTCACTTGGGATTGTAATTAGTAATGAACACCTTTACTTCAAAATTTCAAATACAGCTTCTGAAGGTCACTAGCTAGTTTTAAGGAAAATGCCAATCTTCTCAAGAATTCTTACGCATCTTTTTTGAATTTGGGTTCTTTTAAGCTATTTGGTGACACAATGTTCAGTTTAAAGACATGTACCTTTTGCCTTTTAAAGCAGGTGTAGTTACAGTTGTGACAGTGCCTGTTGTCTTCAGAGTAGACTTGCAATTTACTCTGATCTTCAAAAAGCAGGCTCTGATTGGTGGGATGAAGTCTATGACTGGAGTGTGGCTATTGATGCCTACAGGCTGTTCAGAAGGGCCAGATGAGGAAGGAGGGGTGGATCCGCTGCCATCTACATGAAGAAAATTAAGATATCCAAGAAATGGATAGAGTGCAAAGAGCTGTCTCTGAAGAATAGCCCTGAGCAGGTTGAAAGCTTAGAGGTTAGAATTAGAGACCAAGGCAACAGAGGGAACCTTATGGTTGATGTCTACTACAGGCTGCCCAGTCAAGGGGAGCCTATTGATGAAGCCTTACTGCAGCTACAGGAAGCATCGTGCTTACAGGTTCTTGTCCTGCTGGGGAACTTCAACCAGCCGGACATCTGATGACAAGCTGTAGGCAATCCAGGGGACTCCTGGAATGCATTGAGGATAACCTCTTAAGTGAAGTAATAGACAGCCCCACCAGAGAGGATGTGATACTGGACTTGTTGGTCACCAGCGCAAGTGAGCTAGTCAATGACATCAAGACTGGAGGCAGCCTGGGCTTCAGTGATCGTGGACTGGTGGAGTTCATAGTCCTGAGGGATATGGGTCAGACAAAGAGCAAAGTCAGGACCTTGAATTACAGGAATGCAAAATTCCAGCTGTTCAAGTTATTAAGAAATAGTACCTCCTGGGAAACTGCCCTCAGGATCAAGGGAGCAGAAGAAGTGGGAGATCTTGAAGGATGCTTTCCATAGAGCACAAGAGCTCTCGATGCCTAGATGTAAGACATGAGGAAAGGAAGGGAAGAGATCAGTTTGGCTGAGCTTTTAGCAGAGCTTGTTGTGATAGAACTAGATTTAAACTAGATATAAGGAAGAAATGTTCCATAATGAGTGGTGAAACGCTGGCACAGGTTGCCCAGAGAGGTGGTCGATGTCCCGTCCGTGGTAACATTCAAGGTCAAGTTGGACAGGGCTCCGAGCTACGTGCTCTAGTTGAAGATGTCCATGCTTATTGCAGGGTAGGTGGACTAGATGACCTTTAAAGGTCCCTTCTAACCCAAACTATTCTATGATTCTATGATTGGATGTGCTGATTAGAGATTCATTGATGTGTTTGTTTAGTGAAGTATAGTTGTAAGCATGTTCTCAGCTTTATTGGCTTGCTATCTGCAGCTTGGTTTAGTTGTGTGTTTATTTTAGTATTTGATGTTGGATTCTATTACTTGGGGATCTATGCTGCTGGAAGTGCTGCTCTTCTCCTTGCTTATCACTGTTAAACCTTCCCAGTTATTTTTAGTTACCAGACTGATATTAGCATTTTGAAAGTGTAAAGAACAATAAAGTTGAGATGCATGAAACGAAAAATCAAAAATTCTGTAACTTTCGTCATTTGTTTTTCAAGTACATGGCTCTCATTCATGTGCTTGTGAACAGTACTTACTGATCATTCAGTGTTTGTCTTCTCCATAACATCAGTAACTATAGACTTGTTGTAACCCTCGGTGTTTTTCGCACTTGAGGGATCCCAGTCTGTGTAACTCTCACAGTAGAAGCTGTACCATATCTTTGATTTCTCTTATTAGCCTACCCTTTTTTATTTCTTCTTACTTCTGTATCTGCGTGCAGCACTCAGACTGCAGGTGTAGCATGAATTTATGCAGTGACAGTGGCTTTTCTGTATTGTTTGATGTTCATTTTCTAGTATTTCATTTAACATCTTTCAGAATTGGGCTGATACAAATGACTTCAAGACCTCTTTCCTGGTTGCTATTGAGGTAGTATGAGACCAGCTTTCTATATAAATAGTTACAATTGGTTTTTGATCTCATTTACTCATTAGTACTGAATTTCAGCAGTCTTACCACTTATTTACTCACTATATTAAGATCTTCTGTTGCTTTTTCCACAATCAACTCTATCCTCAGGAATTTTGTGTCATCAGTGTGTATTGATACCTCAGCATTTGCAATTAATTTAGAGTGGGTTGATTAAGACAGATCTCAGCTTGAATCTTTTAGGAAGTCTCTAATGGCATTTTTTTGTGTGTGTGATCTTTCTACTCTTTTTTATTTTCTATGTTTTAACAGATTGCTAATCCAGAGGAGAGCCATCCCTTTCTTTCCGTGTAAATGTGATTTCTTCAGGAGCATTAATGGGAGAAGGTGTCAAAGTTTTGGGATGTTTTGTTTGTTGGTTTTTAATTTTCAATCCAAGTACACTGTCTGACTGGCTCACAGTTATTGGTGTGTGCAGTCCATTTCCAAGAGTCCAGTAGATTTCTTTGGCATGGTATCCATGTATAAAAGTCCTTCTGACTTTTGTCAATGTTTTGTTTAAACAATGTGTGTATCAATTGATTTATTGAGTTTTTTGGTTTAGTTCCTACCCCCCCCCCCCAGTTTTAATCCACTTCTCTGACGGTTTCCCCTCATTCTTCTGGATCCCTCTAAAAGCTGCTGTTGTAGCTGCTGGTTTCTAGTCCTATGGTACAAGACACAGTTTGTGATTGGTTACACCTTAGTGTACAGATTTTACTCTTTTGAAGGTTACTATAATAAAATCTTATCTTTCATGTGTTGGATCAAGCATGATTAAATATTTGATTATTTATTTTGGCCAGTCTATATCCTAGTTTAGGTTGTATATGCTTTACAATGGTATTTGATTTATATACATGTTTTGAATATCATGAGTTAACTGGTACATTAAAAATATTCAGAGAAAAAATTCTAATTGCTACATTTCAGTGTAAAGATTGTAATGAAATGCCGTAGAAGATATTTGTTCTATGCGTTAATTTTAGAGGGAAATCTGTAATCTCTCTAATGGAAAACTCTGTTTTTAAAGCATAAGGTGTAGCTTTCAGTTGAGGCAAAAAACCCCCAATCCAACACAAAACCAACAAACCCCCTTCCCCCCAAAACCGTCACCCACCTCTATAACTATTTGCCTATTTCATAAAGATTGTGAGGGGATTTTTAAAATGGAATAGTCAGAGTAGTCTGACAGGTGTTGGAAAAGCTTTTCCGCTTGCCTGGCTGGGACAGTATTTTTCTAGTAATTTCTAGATATTGCTGGGAATCTTGGTATCCCATCGTTTTAATATATGGTTAGTCTTAGTTTTAAATTCTAGGTATCTTGCCCTTTTCTACTTTAAATAAAGAAGTCGAAACATATGTAAACTCTGGGAGATGGTAGCCAAGAGTTGAGTTTGTTGATAAGAACATAAAAGTAGTCATAGATTAGTGTAGACTCCTTTTTATTAGGTTCATCTCATTAATAGCTATTTGAAAGCATAGTCTGAAAGAGACTTCATGGCAAACTTATTAAAGGCTGTTAGAAAAAGGCTGATAAATTAAAAACAAACAAACAAACAAACACAACAAAAAAGTGGTGTTCCCCAAGGAAATGCTACTTTGCATGCAGTTATAGTATTTGATGGATTTATTGGGCGTGCTACACTGCAACTTTATTGTAAATAGTACTTGTCCCAAGTGGCAAGTGATGTTCTAACTGCCAGTCTTGTACTGTGTAGGCATTTCTGTAATTTTCACTATTGTGATGATTTTTGCTAAAAATGTCTTACAGTTTGAAAGAACATCCCAATATATTTCTGCTTGTATATGAAAAGGCTGGCAGGCTGTTCATATTATTTTAAAATGACTGGAAGACACTTGACCCTTCTTGACCTCCTCCTTTCATATTAGTTTATTAGTTTCTCTGTCTGAGTCATGCTACCAAAACGAAAGTAAAACAATCATTGTGTGAAGTCTGGGTGTTTTTAAGATCAACTCATCCTGATGTATCACAAGGTTTGGGGTTTTTTGGCAGGGTATCAATTTTACTCATCACAATCTTAGGAAAACCTATTATTGAATCAAAAGTCAGTAGGTTACTTAGAATAAGCAACAAATCAACTTCACTATTTTTCACAGTTCTCTTTTGAGCTAGAATTTCCTGTGCCTGTATTCAGAAACCCTTGCAATAAGAACGAAGTATGTCACTGTAACTTGTGCTTTATGAGCAAGTTAGCAAAGTGGCTTAGAGACCAAGTCAAAGCACTGGAGTGAAAACAGGCTTTTGGATACGATTTTTCATTATCTTCGCATGTAGCAGTTATGTCTTCACATGTGGGAGAGCCCTTTGGTCCTTCAAACAGCAGGATGGAACATAAATTATGAGAAGGCCAATGAAGAACAGAACCTGTAATTTTGGAGATGTTGATTGTGGAACAAAGATGATTTTTCTTTCCTGGAAGCGTACCTTTAGTTACCATGTTATCAGTGAGTGAAATTCACCTTTTCTCTATGTAAAGTGGATCAATTTCAGGAGGATGTGCTACTAAACATTATAAAAAGTATAGCACTTCATGTTGACTTCTGGAGTTTTAGGGTGGTAGGGATTCTTTTGCCCTGTTTTAACTGAAATCTGAGCTTGTTCATCCCTCAGTCTTTTCATAGAGAACTTTTTCACAACAAGATTAGTAAATGGTAAAAAATACCATTGGTGTCTGACTAGATAGTCTCTAGATGGATGAGTTTATCCCAAGTCAAGGTAGATTGGTGCATATGGCTCTTCCCATACTGCTCGTGGTGATTCCTGTGTTCACTTTGCACATGCAAGAAAATCATAACATAAACAGCTATCTATGCAAGACTCGCCATTTGGGCGTCGAAGTGGATCTTCCCAAATAGTGTTTTTTAATCTAGTCATCATCTCGTGTTACAACAAGTGGGAAGGCATCACTGTTCTTTCTGTTTCACTTAGAACGACATCACAACATTACTAAATGAAAAAAACAGTCTACTTTTTTTTCTTTCAAATCTGCTGCCATTTGAGTTTTTTCGCAGGTGCTTCCAAAGCTTCCAGCTAAAGCACTATTTACTGTGGACACATTAGAGAAAAGTAAATTGGCACTTTCTGTAGAATGCAGGGAACTTGCATTCCCTTTTCCTCCTATGCTTCTGACAGCAATCTCTATTATATTCTTCAGAGTTTCAACATTTTACCCCCCCCCAAGAGGTCTCATCTTGTATTTCCTGGCACCTCAACCAGAAACTTGTCGATTAAGATATTTTTGTTAATCCTGATTTAACTTTTGCTAACACAATTGCTCTTGGATTCAGACTCATAATTATAAACTCATATTGTTTTAAATTATTGCTTTTAAATTTTTAGGCTGAACAACTCAGAACTTAGTTCAATCTGTGTATAACTTCCAGCTGCAGCACTGCAGCAATATTTGCTTTCCTTTATGACGTATCTTCTTTGGCTTCTTGACCATTTTCTTTCAGCTTACTTCCCTAACTTCAGTTTCTGCGATGTTTCTTTTTGGGTCATCATCTTCCTTGACTGGAGAAGTTATTGAAAGAAAAGCATACAGATTTGTGTAAAATCTATTGACCATCCAGCGTACGGCTCCTTGAGCTGTGTTGCAGAGTCTGAAAGAATATTCTGAGAATTAGCACTGCTTACTTAAGAACATTCTTGTCTTGAGGTGGCTGCTGTTGTCAGTGGCAAGATACTGGACTAGACAACCATTTGGTCTAATTCATTTCATGTGAACCATTCTCACATTCATGTTAATTTGTGGCTGAGAAGAGTTGTACAGCTTAATTTTATGCTGCTTGTTTTAGAGGAGGACTTGAGGAGAGAGGAGAAATATAAGTATTTTAATGAGATTTTTAAAGACAAAGCTGTGATAAAAATCTTTGTGAAAAATTCAGTATCTCCTTTTCTTCAGCTCCGTGCTGAAAAAAACAAACGTGGTCATATGAAATAGTTTATCTTTGAAAAAAAGACCTGAGATTCATGCCTGTATCTAGTGTAATAGGTGGTAAAAATACCCCACTTGATTAAAAAAATTAAGTCAGTAGAGGGGGAAATCAGTTCACTTCTAGTGAAGTGTTTTTAGTTACTGCATTGGGAATTTATCAGCATAAAGTAAAACACTTCAGCATAAGATTTGTGCACAACCTTCTACTGCAGAAAAGATAAAATTTAAGGTTACTCTCTCTTT